AATTAATATAAAATACTATTCTAGGTTATATTTCATCTACATAAACTCTTGTAACTTGTTGTAGGTAAAGGCATTTGTGATAATGATGGTTTCTTTGCTTGGCTTAAGAGTTTAAAACTCAATTATAATGTTGAAATTTTTTGGTGGAGGTTGTATAAGTTTACTATTCCCACTAACCACTTCCTTAAGTTTCAAAGGCTAGCTGTTGATGATCTATGTGCTAGAGGATGTCATAATGTGGAAAATTATGAGCATATTGTTGTTCATTGTAAATTCTTACATGAAGTGTTGGACTGTATTCGTGCTTGGGGGTTTGGTTTACCGGTTTTTCATTCTTTGGAGGGCTGTCTGCTGCAGTTGAGAAGGTGTTCCCAGCAGAATTCTGGGCTTTCTAGAATTTTTTGTGTAGTTGTTTTCTTAAATTGGAAAAACTGAAATCTTGTAAAGCATGGTAAGAATGCTTTACCTTGCTCTGTGACTGCTGCAAATGTTCTTTCCCTTGCTGTGTTAAAGTCTTGTCCGATTCTAGTTAGCTGGGGTGCTAATCTCCCTAGGGAGTCTTCTTTTTCTTGGCGCCCTCCACCACTAGATTGGATCAAAATTAATGTGGATGCTGCTTTATTGAGCTCTAATAGAGGTGGTATTGGTGGTATTTTTAGAGATCACAGAGGGAGACTTCTTTTGGCATTTGGTAGGAAGAAATTCCATTGGGATGTGGCTCAACTAGAGATGGAGGCTATTGTGGATATTAGAGATTTGTTACAAAGTTGGATGTTTGAAAGTAGTGGCATTATCATTGAAAGTGATAATGTCAATGTAATTACATTCTTACAAGATTCTTTGAAGAAGGTTGAGTGGCATTTGGATAGTTGGCCGGCTAAAGAGCTTCACTTCTTAAGTGACTTCAATAAGGTCATTTTTCATCATGTTAATAGAGATTGTAATAAAGTAGCTGATTTTTGTGCTACTTTAGCTTTAGATGATATTTTCACTTTTAATAGCTTTTCCTTTGGTAGCATTCCTAATTCCTTGATTGATTTAATCAAGGTTGAGATGTTACCGTTTTAGCTTGTATCTAGGCTTTCCTTTTCTCGTTAATTCACTGCTTTTACATTGTTTCAAAAATACTTGTTGTAGTAAATAGAATAAATTCTATTGTGTAAAATTATCTCTATTGTTGGCTAAATCGTTAGTTTTGGGTTTATGATGTAAAAGATATTTTTTTTTATTTATGTACACTCTAGCACACACAATGATTTAAAGTTATTTTCAATTACTTCCATTCTAGATTTAATTGATGCAATGGCCATGTTGAATTTAAAACTTATTGTAATTTATTACCTCAACAAAGGAATGATGAAATAACTAGGAGGATTTAGATTGAAAATTTCTAAAGGAGATACAGTCATGGTAGTAAGGTGACAACTTTTCTTGCACCTTACTATCGTCATAGAGATCTAAGGGTGCATATGTATTGATTCATATTATATGTTAAAATAGTATACTTAGGTAAAAGTTGAATATTTCATCATCATAAGTTCAAAACTTTTTTCTTTGGTTAACTTATCATTTTAGTAATTGTAGTAGTTTCATAGAAGATTAATTTTGTAGAAAATGAATGTGATCATGCACGCCACTAAATTAGGCTTGATTTCTGCTGACATAAAATTCATAATGTTGAAGACCTCCAGAAATCCATGATAGAAAAGTAGTCACACGCGCAATTTCAACTGGTTACATGGAATGCAAACTTTTCTTGGAAGAAAGTGTTGAGAAAACCTTCCTTAAAAGGTGACCTAACCCATAGATTGGCATCCTTTTGGTAGTACCTGAATAACTCAAGTTAACATACCCTTATATCACCCTAAGAAACTTGCAGGATCTTAAGCTCGATGAAATCCTAATGGCAACTTTACAAGGCCGCTATTTCTTATGAAAAAGTCCATGCTAAAGGCAATAAAATATAGAGCATGGTATATAGACTGTCAAATTTTTAACACAAAAATAGTGCCTCTCCCATCCAAGAAATATGAAACGAATCAAAATTTTAGGGTTAAATCACATCTAACATTAATTTTCCATATTGTGCCCATATTGCCAATATTATAGAATGATTTGTTACCTTTACCTTCACTCACCCTTCATTAGGCCACCTCATGGAAAAAGCTAGAATTTTCTTCAACCATGAATGACTAACATGCATCCTCAACCTAGTTCATGAAAATTTGTTAGCAATTCACATAAATAATGATAATCTCAACTTCTCATATGAAGCATCATTCTTGAACTCAAGATATTGAATCACCTTCCATAGAAATCTTAAAGTAATAAAGAAAATAATCTTCCATGAACATAAACTCACATGGTCACCATAAAGTGGTAAACCAAAAAACAAAACAAAAAAGTAAAGAAAGAAAACCAACAACTCATCTTAAAAGTATTAATGAACTTTTTTTTTAATTATTTAGAACTTCTTTTTTACATTAAATTATCTTTTACATATAGAGGTGACCCTTCTCATCCCTAACGAAAATCATATAAAAAGTACTTAACAAAAGCTTAGAAGGCACAACTCTATTTTCATTATGTATAATAAATGAAATGCCATGATAATGAATTTACAAAAACTTGTTGACTTGAGGAAGTAGTGGGCCATCATTATTTAATAGCTCCTTACATCACAGAGAAACATTATTACTCACTCCATTCATCCTCTATGAGGCTCTTGATCCTTCTCCATGCACAGCTTGGATGTTGATAATGTTCTACACCAAACTAACTAGCTATATAAGAGCGTATATAGAAAGAGTAAGCAAAGACTTTGATAGAGGACTAGTTAAGGGGGAGGTGATATTAGCTGTTGTAGTCAATATGGGTGGGTCTATGGATGTTCTCGGGATGAGGATAGTGACACAATCTCTTCAACCTATTTGGCCTAAAGACTTTAGCTACCTTATTTATGGATTGGACCTCCAATGAATATGGCATGCACTAGTCTACAATATTTAATACCATTGGAATCACTCTTTTGGTAATATGAGAAGAGTTGGTGAGATAAAACCCCTCACTTAAGAGAATCAATGTGATCTTTAACAATCTTTCATGTTGGTCTACCATCCTTTTAAATATGCCAAGTACCCATTGCATTTATATCAATGCCTAATACTCATATAGCAAGAGTAATAAAAACTTGCCTGTGATTTGGACTTTTGGATTGCTTAAGGATAGTGGAATTCATCATTTTAATGTAACTCCCTCAAAACTCTAAAATGAAATGCTCTTTCCATCACCTTGGTGGCTAGTGGGCCTCATTAAAGTAGAAGTTGAGACCCCTTATAGTGTAGGAGTTGACACCATATCTATTGTAGGAGTCTCCAACTCAAATACTACACCCACTGTTGCTTATAAAGTGAAGACTCACCTTACGTGTCTCACAACAATGGCACATCATCGAAGCTTGATGAGAGCACCACCCTTTCCAAGCTCTCTTTAGAACTAGAGCCTTGCTCAATTCTAACTTCTTTGTCTCTTTCGGCACAGCTACCACCAAAACACATAACTCCAAGATAATATGTATAACCATCATCATTTTGTTACTCCAAAGCATGCTAAATTTCTTCTCGCCATCCTCCAATTTACACTTACAAAGAATGACCTTCTTCAGCCACTTAAGGCTCACATCCGAATGTTTCGAAGAATTCAGGTTAGGCATTTTAAGAGAGTCGCTACCACCACTTCAGAACTAAAGGGAAAGAGTGTGCCTACATCATACCAACTTGGCACTAAATACAGATGAATATAATTTTAAGGGTAAAATCAAAGTCATAATGAGAAATTTTAATGAAATGAAAGTATGACTCTTGAGGCAATACTAGTTATAAGGACATTAATTTCCAATAACTTTCCCTTTATACTATTTAGTAAAAAAAATAAATGTTTATTTTTAGTTCATCACTCCTCTTTGTAGCTCACAATGAGAATCTTTGTAACTCAAACACATCAACATGAACAAACTTCACAAAATGTTAAAGTTATCCCGCCTTCATATTTAGCATCCTCTATTCTATTCTCTCTTAAATTCACCTTAGCACTTAATAAATGGGAGTCAAAAATTCATATCAAGAAAAAATATTCAAAAAAAAATTTGTTATAAATTTATTTTTGTTATTTTTAAAAGAAATATTATATATAATTTAGTAGTAAGAAATAAAAAATAACAAAACATAAAATAGGCGGGCTGGGGGTACCATCTTTTTCTTTATAATAAAAGTGAGGGATTTCTCTAATGAAAGATTTTTTATTTTATTTTTGCTTTCCCCGCCAAAAGCAGCACACACTGAATCCAAACAATTGTCAAACATAGATCGCACGCAATCAAGCTTAGTCCGTCCGAAATCATGTATGCAATCCATCCCCAATCAGCGGATCTGGTGCACATCTGTATTTGCAACATCCAATTTATCGGACGTTGCTTAGTATTTGGGACAATCGTTTATCTTCCTTTAGAAACTGCCATAGATATTGTTATCTAACATTTGATCTTCTAAAAATTACAAACACCTCTTAGCCTTCATAAATAAACATTTCCAACTCCGATGGCCTTTCAAAATTTTACCCAAAAAAAAAAATGATATTTCCCTATTCGTTGCCACAATCAGGGCAAATTATTAGGTCTGCTCACTGGACCTAAAATTAGGCCCGGACATCCAATGAAAACTTGTCATGTGGACTACGTCTTAGTTGCGTTTTGACTGTGCTTTATGTGCGCTTTTGACTGCGCCTTAACTGTGTTTTACCTGAACTTTACATGCGCTTTACCCGCGCTTTACCTACGCTTTTGAAGCGCTTGACTTAAAATTCCCCGGATACTGTGTATATTCCACATGTCAATATTTTATTTGTGTCTGGATGTATGTTTACGTCCGGGGTGACCGGAATTAATAATTTACCCTACAATCAGTAGAGCACGGAAAACAAAGATGAAAAATTAGAAAAAAAGATCAGCAAAGCATAAACTCAATTTATTCAAGTTGAACTCAACTGATAACTCAATTCACTACTTCTTTTGCAAGTGAAAATCCCTTTCTCTATCTCTGCTCAAATCCAACAAAGACCTATCAAGCCTTCCCACGACTACCCTCTTGATGCTGAGCTCCTCATCCTTCCCCATTCTAATGCTGCTGAGACTCGCTCTGGCCTGCTCGATCACCAACTCGCTAAGCGGAAGACGGTTGCTTGAACCCATGAGATCTGGCCTCTGTTTCGGTGTACTCTGGGACCGCATCTTCGCCTCAAAGCACTGTGTGTTGTTCATGTAATTTGGCCTGTGAAAACCACCATCAATCATGCCGCATACACTCCTTGTAGGCGTGGATGGCGCAATGCAGCGTGGTGTACTATGTGCTGTCGATGAATGCCGGCATTTCTCGAATGATAATTGACAATCGGGTATTGAGATTCTTCCAATTTTAGGAAGAGAGGAGACTGAACTGGGAGAGATTTCATCATTATTGTCTGTTGGATGGTAACTAGTTCTTCCTGAAGATCTTGATTTTGGGCGGAACAAGTCGATTTGAACAACCTGTGGGCTGCCATCAGATGTACAGTTCACGTCGTAGAGGCTCGTGGACTGTTTCCGGCGGTGAAAAGATGATGTTTCCTGAAATATATATATATATATATATGAGATGAACACTTTTACCTGAAATTAGTATAGTTTAATGGCTACAAATCATACCAGTGTGGTGCGGGGATTTTTTTCTTGATAAAACTTCCTTTCAGAAGAGAGAAGAGCTCTGCATTTTTGTGCTCTGATGGTTTCCTGAGCTTTGATTAGAGCTTGCATACTGTGAAAAGTTGCTGCTGTTTGCTTTCTAACAAGGTAGCCTCTAACTACAGCCTGGAGCTTAACCAGAGCTTTGAGAGCTCTCAGAGCTTTCTTTGCCTGAACAACAAACAGTGCTGTGAACGACAAGGATTTAAAAATAATGGATGAGAATATACTTTGCTAAATTTAGCTCATCATACAAACAGTTCTTCGTGAACAATACGGAATTTTAAATTTTTATCAAATTGCAATATATATATCTATACACACACATAATAAAACAATCATGACGGAAAAAAATACTAGTCTTTTATACAAAAAATTTGTCTTTTATTCAAAAAATTTCCCTTCTAATTACATAGAACCGTACATATAAACAAACTGCCTTTGACGCAAAAGAAAGCAGATGGCTAATAGATAATATGCCATTTGCAAGAAGAATAGCAATAGAAGAAAGAAGAAGTGGCCTCGTTAATGCGTAATAGTGACACGGAATAAGTGAAGAAACGCAGGATTTCAACGAATTGAAGATCCATTATTTCAAAATCATAGCAACAGTACTGAAAATACATGCAGTGAACATTTATAGTACAAATATAACAAATAAATATGAAAATTTTCCAAAAGTAGATATCAATGCCATTAAATGCAATAGAATAGAAACCTTGGTTCATACATTTGGATTAGCATTTGAAAAATAGCATTTTAAAATTAAACTTACCAGATAACCCCTGAACACTCTCTGTATCTTAATAGCAGCCAGCCATTCATGGAAACCCCCAAGCTTCGAGCTCCGGCTATGGCTGGTGAGCTGCACCACTGCAACGGCTGCCTGAGCAGCTGCGACAGCGGCATCAGCAGCAGCGGCCGTTGCGGCTACCACTGCAATAGCCTGCTTGTTCTGTTCCTTCTCTGTTTCCGCATAGAATGATCTCAGCCAGGAAACACTAGCCTGTGCGGCTTCATAGGAATCCCTTGGCGATTTAAAGTTCCACCGCTTTTTCTCCCTACGAGCGCTGGTATCCTCAATGGCCGTGTTAACCTTCTTGCCGCCAAATAAGTTCCTCAGCCATCTTGTTGCTCGGCCCATCTCAGAAGCGCTAAGGAAGTACAAAGATGAATCCGAGGAGGGAGGAGGAAAGTGAATCAGAAGTTATCTAAATAACTGAACCAATGGTGAAGTGAAAGAATCTTTCTGACCATAAAAAAGTGCAAAGTGAAGAAAGCTAATGAGAATTCACAAAAGGAGAGATTTAATGGAGGGATCTTTTTGAAAGCAAACCTGTTATCTCCTCGTGAAGAAGTGCATTACAAGACAAAAGGGTTGTCCCGGGAAAGAAACGAGGATCAGCAAAATATAAAACAGGTTTCTAAACAGCTCTTTACCTGTGAGTTGTGACCCGCGAAAACACCGGATGGAGGGAAAAAATGAGTTTTGAAAAAATTGGCTAATAGAAAACAGCTCATATTTCCAAATATTCCGCTCCTAAAAAAAAAATAGCTGACAAGACAGAGGAAGGAGTGAAAGATAGAGAAGAAAGCTCAGCGTTTGACGACCTATCTATGTATAAGAGGAATGGAGAGGGACCTGCTCTTTTCAAATCCTTCCCATTCTAAAGCATATAAAAGAAATGATGTTTTCAGATTGGAAAGATCAAGATGAATGTGGAGAAAAAGTCATCTTTTTTATTTTATTTATCTTGATTACAAGATCAAAAGCTTTGTGAAGGTGCACTCTTTTTTCCATGGACAACTAAGAAAAAACAGAGGATTCGTTTATTGGAGGAAGGAGAAAGGATAAAGGGGGAAAGAGTCTTACATTGTTTTGTTCTTTCTCCCTCCTCAGTCTTCTTCTCTGTGGCTTACAAAAATTATAAGAAAGCGACAGAAGAAGCACTGAGCAAGTGGTGAGAGAGATGGAAGAGAATAACATTTTATACGCTTTTATCAGGAGTACGTGTTTTTCGGGTTTTCTTTTTAAGACGTCATCTCTATTCTCCATCTCTATTTCAAAAGTGGAGCTTAAAAGAGAGTAGATAATAGGCATGTATAGAATATCATTTTGAATAGAAATTAACATATTTATTTGTTCTTTCAAGTCAATGTTTTTTGAAGATTGAATAAAATAAAAAGACTTTATATTAAGTATTAACACATTAAATGTGTTGATTTTCTTGTATCAAAAGCACTACTTTTTAACTTTTTTTCTTTTGATAACAGGTTACTTTAATTTAAGTTCCTGTAATGAGAGTTTGAAAATGGTTAATAATGGCGATCTCTGATTTATCAATGGCTGACCTCTATATTTTAAAAATGGAAGCCTGATTTTAGGCTAGTTAAAGAGGAATTTAAACAGGTTCCTATATGGGTTAAACTTTAAAATTTGCCACTATGTTGATCATCTAAATTTAGGATTTTCAAAGTTGCAAGTAGGGTTGTTATTCGCTTACCATAGACCCCCTCATACAAAAATGGGATAAATAGACATTTGTTAGAGCTAGTAATCAAATTTCAACTACTTCTATTGTTGAAATTCATGAGACCAATATGTTATTTTTACGATAATAAATGTTATTGGTTTGATCTTTTATTATTTTATGTATTATATATATAGTTTTTTCTTTGGCATTCTACTAACATTTTAGGTGCAATATACACGAAGCTAAGCCAAAAAAAAAAAAAAAAAGAAATTAAGAAATAGAGTAGCGAGTAAAGTCATAATTAGTAACAAAAGATTCTATAAGTTTTCTTTTTCTTGAGTCTATTTATTTTGGGCGTATATAGGCAAGGTGAATAAGCTTACACACAAGTGGGGATGGAAAAAATTGAACAGTTAGTTTGCTCTATTATTGCATGATCACAATCATACTGAAAATCATCTATTTCATAAATTAAATTAAGTGTTTAATCAAATTTATTTTAATTATAGCTAATCAAACTGTATGACCTAAAATCCTGTAGTAGGATAAGGTATTTTGATAAAATCTCACTATTGAATCTGAATTATTAAAATTAGGCAAATTTGAATTTTAAAATTTGTCCTAATCATAATATAAGAAATATTTCATGCTATTCGATTATTAATTTATATTGAAAATTTTGGTCTATTGATCAACTAAATAAATCAAGATTAAATTTTATTGTCAATTTTAATACTATACGATATATATTTTATTGTATGATTTAAAAGAACCTTGACAGGATGGACCTTGCTTCATTATAGATAATCTTTATTCGATATAGTTTTTCATATTATACGACCAAAAATCATATAGTTTGATTTGATAAAACTCATAATGGGTGTTTAATTAATATGATTGTACGAACCTAGTATTGTACTTTATTATTAGAGTATTAAAATTAAAAAATAGTATATGATTTAAAAAGCCCAATTTATATTTTAGTAAGTGTTTTTGAGAGAGTCTTAATACTGGTTTTAATGAGAGAGTCGTATTTTTTGAAGTGTTACATTATGCATTTACTAAGAAACTAAAATATACAATCCAACCATCTGATTCTATCACACTCCTTTAACAAAGACAATAATGTTGAACGAAGGTTATTATCTAGTGTATTAGCCCAAAAGAATTATAGAAAATAGCAAAGGATGCACAAAAATCAGTCACCTTATTACAAATTTTTATTGGGTCCGGAGACCGGATGTAGCTTTACATTCGGACGCCAGTAAAATGGTGCCACGTAGTGACCGAAAGATCCGCCTACCTGGCTCACCGAGAAGTCCAAACGATGCACGTGCGTTTCTAATTTTTGCACGACCCGACCCAGATAGGACGTACAAATTCAATATAAAATAACCGCCGACCATTGTCAAAAAAAATCAAATTCGAAGCTTTTCACTTTCTCTCCTGCTATTCATCGTCAGACAAAGATTTAGGGTTTGTTTATCACCTTCATTGCCGAAAAATATTCTGAATTAATGCCGAAGGTCAGTATTTTATAACGAGATAAGTACAATTTTCTTTTGTTGCTTGGTTATTTTGATCCTGTAAAATGAAATAATATAAATGTAATGTTTTGGTGTAGGGTTTAAATCAGTATCAGAAAATGTAAATGTTTAGGACGATGAACTCTCAATAAACCAATTCTCGGTACAAATCAGTATCAAAATAGCATACCAAGTATACCGCTCGGTTTCGTTCTCTATCTCGCAGTAACGATCGGTACCGAGTTGCTGCGATTTAGGGTTCATTTGGAAATTGTAATGCCTGGTTTAAAAAATGATTTATCTATATTTCTTATATGCTAATTAAGCTCAGAATAGTTGTGTGTGAAACCTTGATTCCTATGATCGGTACTTTTCTGTGTATAAATGCTTGATACCGATCGGTACCGAAAAATAAGGACCAATACCGCTTCGTATTGGTCGGTACCATGTTTGTCTCTAAACTATTCTGGAATGTTGGATCTTTTTCTTCGTACCAATCGGTATGGTACCCAATAATAATGCTCAGTACCGATCAGTATTGCTCAGTACTGAACTTGCTTTGTGCGAAAATTCCTCAGTATTACTCGGTACATCTTGATAACTTATTATCTATCCCAATGTTGTAGGGATATTCACAGCCTATTCATTTTTGATGCAGAACATCCACATTTATAAAAGTTTGCAATCATTTAGTAAGTACATTCGAACAATAATTTGTGGATCAACTCAGGCAGCTCCAACTTAATCAGCTCTTGGTGTTGCCTCCATTTCGTCAGAATGTACCCCTTCTGCATAAGCTCCTCACAAAGTGGGACATTCAAAAGCAGTGTTTTGTTATTAAAGGACTTAGTCTACCATTCACTACAGATGAGGTCGCTCTTATGCTTGGGCTGATCAATCGAGGTGTTAAATTTGTGTCGGGAAGTGTTAGAATTAGTGGGAAAAACATCCAAAGAGATTAGGCATGAAATTGAAACTCTTCTTGTCTCTACTCCGCTAGAAGATCTTGTGTAGAAATTCATATTTTACTTAATTTCAAACCTTTTTTGTCCATGGCGTGCTTCAAGATACCTACTACAATCCCTAATGTTTCTGACAATGTTGATGAATTTTTAACATACAACTAGCCAACATGCATTAGTTAATTCCTAGTGAATGAATTCAATAGCATAGCTAGGAAGAATTCTAAAGGCAATCCACTGGGTTACATAAATGGATTGTAATCATTGTAATTGTGAGTAGATCAGACATGTTGATTCATTCCATTACTATAAAAGCACATTAAATTTAGAAGGTTAACTTATTCTCAAAATATGCAAATTTGATTTCTAGAGCATACAAGCATCCACGATCTAGTGGATGACCCGTCCCAACCTTATTTTGTTCATTGGGACAGCCACATTATGTACAGTGATAAGGATGTGACCAAATTATTTTGCTAGTCTACGCAAACCTTAGGTAACAATTCAACATGTAGTGATACTCATTTCTTATTGAGCTTAACCTGCAAAAAAATATCTTGCAGATTGTTTGGCAATTTGAAGGAGTCACATATGTTGAGAGAATATTATTAGAGCGTTCTCCCATTTATTCTCCACTGAAAATATTAACTCCATCTGATAATCAGCTACAAATTCAATTCCATCAGCCATTCAGCTGTCAAACTTCCACTGAAATATTCCCCAGGCCCACTAGTCCAATCAGCTCCATAATGATTCTCAGCCCCCAGAACCCATACCAGCCACCTTAGTACCTGCAGCAGTCCATCACAGAAAGAAACATCAATTTTAGATGTTATGGATGATGCTAACATGATGAATGATGGTAACATGAAGAGCATACACGAAGCATGCAGTAAATTGATTGTACATAATAAATTACTCGTAAAGAAGTTAACTGCGGACAAAATGGAGTCCAGTTTGTTAGAGCGACATGTGCAAGCTCTTGAACAATCTGTTTTTTGAATTGAGGGAAGAGAAAAATTTGAAAATAGAAGGAATTGAGAAGTTTTTATTCCACCATTTCCCTATTGCATTTACAGCTTATCAAAATGGGAAGTCTACAAAGTCTTCTTCCAGGACCATTACTAAGAATAATGTAGTTAGCCCATCAGCTGACACAATTCCTGAAGAAGTAACACAACTAAAATCTGCGGCGGAAGCTTAGGATATTATTGACATTATTGAAAAAGAATGATCAAAGCCTGAGGAAGAGGAAATGGGATTTGCTTCTTCTTCCCATACTAGAATTTCAAGAAGGGTGCAGCGTCAGATTGGGAGGAAAAGAAAATTTGTAGAGTCTTCATTCACAACTGGTGATAGAAAACATAAGAAAACCAATGTCCCGGTGAATAAGCAGATATCATTGGCTGATATCAAAGTTGAAACAAATAAAATAAATAAAGGTACAAATGAGTAGGTGCCTTCGCTGGATTAAAGATTGTTGAGGTTCCAAGTGAATCTAAGATTGAAGCATGGTTAGCCGATGTTATGCTTGA